AAAATTGTGTTTTTGTTATAAGTAACGTATATGCTTTCATATGCATATAGTGAAGAGCTGTTATTTTGACATTACAAACAGATACTTCAATTTCATTTATTTCTATAGATATAGATGTATAAATATTAACTTGTTCACCAACGTAAGTAGAAAATAAAAACCGGAGAAAGGCAATGGAAAAGTTATGTCGTTAATCGTCATAAACACTAATAACATTCTACAAAGAATACATAAATCACTACGTTCAACACTATAATTTACTTCTCCACGCGCATTAAACGCCTTTGATAGGACTAGTTCTAGACAGTAGTGGAATGGCGGATTCGAACTCAAGATCTTTTTATTTCGCAGTTAAAATCACCACATTATTTGGGTCCCGTGTTGTAAAAGGCGACTAACATATGCCAATAAGGTTTTATAGCCGCCGATAGTTAGTTATAAAAGCATCTCGCTTTCGCTAGACGTGAAATACCGACCCAGAGACGGGCAATAACATCAAAGACTTGAATCATCTTTTACGATTATCAGTCCATCTGTCAATCGTGATGAGTAAGGGAAGATCCATGTCCTGGACACCGGAATTTAAATGGCGTATGAAGAAGTTTTTTTTTTAATAGAATAAAGGTGGCAAACGAGCGCACAGTCCACCTGATAGATAGATAATTCTTTATTGTACACCAAATCAATACATAAACGAAAGAAAAAGAAAGAAGAATAGTGGCACAATGGGCGGTCTTATCGCTAAAACCGATTTCCAGACAACCTTATTTTTACTTATTATAAGCTAGTGCTTAACCACAATCCCACCTGGTGGTAAGTGGTGATGCAGCCTTAGATGATAAATCGCTGTCGATGGACACCTTTCGATGGACAGGATTACAAAAAGCAGAAAATTGTGTGGTTTGGTGATGCAGAAACAATATTTATAAAGATTTCCATATAATATATAGAAATAAGTAACAAATACAGACATAAAATACGTATTTATACATATATAGATGGCATGAATTAAATGGTTAAGATAGTAATTGTGTACAAGCTTATGAAAAACAAATGAAGATTGGGCGCGTCTCACTGACAGAGCCAGGGATTTCCATAGACGAACTGCTTGAATAGTAAACGAGCTGTCCAAAAATTTTGTATTATGGACAGGCATTTTTAATGTAAAATTTTCTGATGATCTCAAAACTTTCGAATAGGAATTTTTTTTTTATAGGATGAGGGTTACAAACGAGCACACAGTCCACCTGATGATAAGTGGTTGCTGCGGCCCATAGACATCTACATCTATCCTCTGTTACAAATCAAAATGTAGATGCGTTGTCACCCGAGAGGAATGCCTCATTTCCAGTAAAAAGGGCCTCCGGCCACCTGCACTCACCAAGCAAAACGCAGAGATAAACCTCTACTTCACGCTGGTTTTCTGTGAGGTCGTGGTACTACCCCGGTTCGAGCCGGCTCATCCGTGCGACAGCAAAAGCTGCCGCGTGGCTCTACCACTGTTAATTCAAAGCGATCTTTAAGATACGAAGCATAGGAAGGATTAAAGAGAAAATTGTAAAAAAGTTACAGAATATGAGCATTCTGGCGAAGACGAATAGGAAGCCATTTGAGCTTATTACGAAAACAAAAAACATGATAATATTTGCGCCAACCAAATATGAATCTTATACAAAAAATTACAAGTTGATCAAATTGCTTTTCGGTGAGATCAAGATAGCTGACATCTGTATAGTCCATAATTGGGAGAAGCAGAGTTTGTTCAAGCGCGATTTTAGTGGCAGCTGGTAGAAAGTTCCTTAATCTTGTGTTGTGGATGCTGTGGCCCATGGACATCTACATTTATACTCGATTACGAAAGAATATGCAGATGCGTTGTCACCCCTAATGACTAAATTGGAATGCCTAGTTTCCATTAAAATGGGTCTCGGTAAATACGCTCACCATACGAAACACAGCAGCATCAAGCTGCTATTTCACGCTAGGATTCTGTGAGAGCGTGGTCCTTTCCCGGCCGAGCCGACCCTTTCGTGCTACAACCACATTATAGCTGTAGGGTGGCTCTTTCACGTGTGAAAAGATAAAGAACTCTTTTCTTTAGGTGATGGTCGCTTAAGAATTCCTTTGTAAGAATTCTTATAAAAATGTTTACAAACCGTGAAACATAATTCTTAAGCATTAAATTTCACGGTCCATGAACACGATCGAAGACGATATAAGGTTACGATATGAGAAGACGACGCTCATAACTTACTTAGATAATAAGAAAGGAGAGTGAACGTACTCATCTATCAGCGAAAAAATATGTATTTTTTATAAAACGATTTCTTTTAGAATGGTGCCAACATTCTAATTAAGTTATCAAAAAAGTTAAGTACTAAATGAAATTGAGATTTTTATGCGTTTTTGTGGCTTAAGCTTGCTAAAACTTAAGAGATATATATTAAAATACTACGGAATTACAGTTCTTCAAAAAGCCTAGAGAAAACTCCCAAATGGCACGTACCTATTTCCCAAGGTTGACGACACACAATAACCATTTTTTTATTTTTATAAATTTAATTATAAATATTCTGGTTATTTGCGAAGCTATTTTCACCAATTCACTATTAACACTTATCCTAATAAATATGTTAGTTACCTTGGGCATTTCATTATCATCATCATTATCATAATAACACTTCACAAGTCCACTGCTGAATACATGCCTCCCCCAAGGAATGTCTGTACATGAAAACCGGCGTTTTGCAGAGTTGTTTCTCAAAAAAGAAAAGGACAGATGCACGATAATGGAAGAACTAATATTGACAGTGAAAACGTTAACGTTTTAATAAAACTTTGACAATGACACTTAAAATTACCCAACGTTTATAAATCTGCAAGCTGTGCTATAAACGTTATTAAACAAATTAATATTTCCTTTTCATAACGATGACCTGTCGGCACACCAAAGCGACAAATTGTCAATCTATCAAGCAGAGCTTCACCACTAGGAAATTGTACCTGTACTAACGGAAAGGTCGCTAGTAATTTCTAAAATTTTTACGTTTTGCACGTTATTTATATTTTTCTTATTAGATATTTTCCAGTAGACTGGAACCGCCTTTTGTTCTCGTTTGTGTACCAAGCAAAGCTTAAATTAATACACGAGTATCGTATTATACATTAGACACTGCTTCCCGTCGCCGCTGTTTCAATTTTGTATCTTATTAATACGCGAAACTATAGCCATCTATCGGAAGGCATAGGATCCTTCCGGCTTCTCATAATATTATAGTAATGCAACCTACGAGTAGGGTTGCCAGACGTACTATAATATATAGTATCGTACTATATTTCAGTCAATTGTACTATATATTATAGAAAAATAATATACGAAGTATGAAAAATACTATATTTTATCCCTTATTCAACTGTCACGCTTTTTTATATTAACTGTGATGAAGAAAGTCGAAATGAAGAAAAAAGAAGTCTGGAACAAGAAAGTTTCACGGAAAGATTTTTTTTCCCGTCAGGAATGTAAAATAATACATAAAAGAAGTAAGAAATAGAGCATGTATTAATTGTTAATTTATTTTAATATGAATCGAAATTGCTCAGATTCCTATAATTATTTTAAAGTTAGATCATTGATAGCCAAAGCGAAGAGCAAAAACAAATGTATTTGAAAAATACATAAAGATGAAAAATGTGTACTTTTTTCCTGAATTTCGCAAAAGTACTATATTTTTGCATTTGTTTAGGGAAAAATGTAATATAATATAATATTTGTATAAATGTAATATAATATTTGTTCAAAAATGGTGGCAACCCTACCCACTAGACTTACGAGTATGTGGTAATGGATTATTTTACGCCGCAACACAGCAACTTTAAGGTTCACTGGTGAATGCAATACAGTGATATTTTGCATAATTGCCGGCTAGCGGGTTGGTTGTCGCAGTTTGTTCTTTATTATTATTAATTTGCTATTAGGAAGATGCTGCTCTGCCCTTGTCCTCTTTTGGTTATCCTCTGTCATTTCTTACGACACCCACGGTATGACTCGGGGTAGAGGGTTCTTTTACACCGCAATAATATATCACGTCACGCCAGATAATTGCTTAGCAATTTATTTATGTTTACTTTCTTATGAAACTTTATTATATATTATTTATATGTAAAATTATTAAACATTTTAAATTTATCGGTACCGCTTGGCGAAATTGTATGCAAACAACGCTAAGTATTTGTTTGCATTATTTTTTTGTAACATTTTACAAATAATTTACAGTAGGTGGCGCGCGTATCGCACCGACAAATTTCTTTAAAAGTTATATGTCATTCAACTTGAAAACTTCTTTAAAAGTTATATATCACTCAACAAAATGTATTATTATTGCTAATTATAACAATATAAACTCTTCCAAATTTAAAACGATATTTCCACAATTATTTTTTCTGCGGCAGTAACCCGCCGGGTACCAGCTACCAGCTAGTATAAAATAAAAACAACAAAAGCAAAGGAGGCAAAGGAACCTTATCAGATACAGCCTTGACGTGATCAAAATGCTTTCATTTTATTGGTTAAAAATTTTTGGACGAAAAAGTCATATATTTTTTCATCATTCATCACTTTATTTTATCTACCTTACTCGCAACATATACACATTATTTTCTTTCTTATGCAAATCTATGGCATCATAATACAGGATTTGTTACTCTCCTTATAGTGTAATTACTAAAATACTTAAATTAAATAAACCTTTACATTAATTGTAGATGTTCATATATTAACATACAAGAGGAGAAAAAAGAACCTACGACCTATGGAGAATAAATGTTTTCGAGTGGTAGCCTCGTACTGGCCAGCTAAGTGTAGGGCGCCCCTCACAAGAATGAATGATGTGCTAGTAAGACAAGCAGGATGTCGAAGAATTGGTGGCTCAGGCCTATGAACAGCAGTGGACGTAAGAGGGGATTTAATGATGATAATGATGTATAAAAGGAATATTTCAAACCTGAGCAGGATGATCTTGAACACAGGCCCCACGAGGCCCTTGATGATAGCGGATGCGTTGAGGTGACACCTGCCGTGCAGCACTATGCCGTTCACCTGTAGAAAAAGTAGAACGATATGAACATTTGATCAAAAATAAACTTGTTATTTAATTTAAAGGAAGAGATCGTGGTTGAGCCAAGTTGCAGCTATATTATGATTGTAGCACGAATGGGTCGGCTTGTCCGAGGCCTTCCCCGGACCAGGACCACGTTGTCACAGAACTAATGCTGCTGTATTTCGGATGGTAAGTGTAGAGAACCGGAGATACCTTTTTACTGGAAACGAGGCATTCCACCTTGGTTCTCAGGAGTAACAACGCATCTGCATTATGATTTCGATAATCGAGAATAAATGTAGATGTCTATGCGCCATGGCGTCCACTTACCATCAGGTGACTATCTGTATTTAAAAAAAGAGGATTTTTCTGACATTGATGCATTTCGATGATCAATTTTGTTACTGGCCACTTTAAATTTCATACTGAAAAATAAAATGTATTGATTTTACAATAGCCTATCCACTCCACTGCAGACCGACGGTCTCCCCTATAGCATCAGAGCAGGGATATTTGTCACACTTATACGTTTGGCAGTTTTTTTTATTATTTTTGAGTTGTTATTATAAAAATACTACTGTCAGTATCCTGTTTTCTGCCGACTTCCAAAAAGGAGACGGTACTCAATTCGACTGTATTTTTTTTTGTTTTTTCTTTTATGTGTGTTACCTCATAACTTTTTACAGGCTGAACCGATTTCGATAATTCTTTTTTTGTATGAAAGCTGATACGTCTCGTGTGGTCCCATATGAATTTGATCAAGGTCAGACCAATAGTTTTGAGTTATTCTTAATAACTTATATTGAAGGCGGCTGTACAAAATTTTCAATTTTAAATTATCTCTCTATCGCTCTTTAAACTATATATTTTATAAGGTTATTTGGAGCTGTTGGCGGAAAAATAGTCTACTTGTGAGTTTCTTGCCGCTTCTTCTCATAAAGTCACCTCGCAGTTGGGACTTGTTAAAGAGATTGCGTAGCCTTTGACTGTCATAAAGTGCTTAGTAAAAGTTAATGTTAAATTTAACCATATAGTGACGGTGTAAGAATATCCACTACCTCATATCGTCTCGAGTATTTAAAGAGGCGACAAACGGAACATGAAACAGGAGATGGGTAGCAATACAGATAACAACAGAAAATAATAAAAAACTGCAGTTACTAACCCACTTGCCAAGCGTGGCAACTATTGCGAAACCCCTCACGAGGCAATCTATGAGGGAGGTCTATGTTCAGCAGTGGACTTTTATAGGCTGTAATGGATGGAAAAGTTAATGTTAAATATATTTTTTTTTACTGTGAATATTATTCTAAATTTGAAAATGAGTTTCATTTAAGTGTTATCTTCGTCGTTGGAGGGTTTTAATAATTTCTTATACAAACAAGTTACAAGGTGATTATATCCTGACCGATATCCGACAACGACGACAACTATGAATCGGAAATACCGATTATGGTGAGATAAAATATCATAGTTTTTTTTATAGGATAGGGTAACAAACGAGCACACAGTCCACCTGATGGTAAGTGGTTGCTGTGACCCATATACATCTACATTTATCCTCGTTTGCGAATCAAAATGCAGATGCGTTGTCACCCGTGAGGACTAAGATGGAATGCCTCTTTTCCAGTAAAAAGGATCTCCGGTTCTCTACACTCACCATACGAAACACAACAATTTTAAGCTGCTATTTTACGCTGGTATTCTGTGAGAGCGTGGTCCTTTCCCGGTCGAGCTGACCCATTCGTGCTACAACTATACTACTAATATAGCTGCAGCGTGGCTCTACCACGTATAAACCAAGCTAATCCTACAAGTGTACGTAAACGCACTTGTACTATTATAAGAATACAGCAAAATCTAGTGAATTATGCTTCACGTTTCAATCGAAACGGACGTTAAACAAGAATAGTCTGGCTTAGTTTCAGAGTCGACTCCGTACGGCGGTTTTGTGTAGTGGATATGTTTTAGTAGCAACGCAGCAGCGGATGCTTGTAATTAAAATCTTCACATATTATTTTATTATCTTTTTTTAAAAGCATTAAACGTGACAAACGAGCACACAGTCCACCTGATCGTAAGTGGGTAATGTGGCCCATAGATATCTACATCTACTCGCGATTGAGAATCAAAATGCAGATGCGTTGTCAAATTCCTTTTATAATTAATTGAATCGTCTTACATCGAATAAAACTAATATTATTTATTTTAACGCGTTTAATTTTATCTTTCTAAATTCTTCACGTTCCGGGCACTTTCTACACCCAAGGTCAAGGGGAGCGTCATGATTTCTTAGTTATGCTAGTGAGAGTTAGAGCGTGTAAATGCGATGTGAAGCACCGATGCTGAAGTCTCAATCAATACGTCAAATTTGAAAGACGATAAATCCTCTCAAAAGAACACCGATTCCTAAATTTGAATGCATCCAAATTTCAATAAAGATGGCTGAGGGCTGGGCAAAACACTAGAGGATATATTTCAGCGGCACTACAAGGTTACAATAGCTTAATGTTGATTTTATTATATTAATACGTTAGATATAAATTAATTTAATAAGCAATTTTAATATTATTTATGCAAGTAAAGTAAAACAGTAACACCTGAATATGTTCCATGTCTGGGCACACATTTGATCTAATTTCAATACAAGTTACAAGGAGAGGAGACTCAGGGATTGGTAAAAGAACGGTTCACAATGTTCGGTATTAGAAATTGGATTTTTACTCAAACACGTATTTTAAGGATTGACGCACAGCAAGTAGTAAAATTAAAAAAAAAATTGTACACCCGATTTCATTCAATATAAATAAAATGAGAACATCATCAACGTAGTCGAAGATAAATAAGCAGTGCCTTTGTACAAAATATCTTTTTTTCTTTTCTTCCTTGTAACATTATTTTGTGTGTACATAAATTGTTAAATAAATAAATAAAAATTATTAATGATAACTCAAAAACTACTGGTCAGATCTTGATCAAATTTATATGGGACCACATGAGAAAAAAATTCTGAGGTAACACACATAAAAAATACAGGCCAATTGAGAACCTCTTATTTAATTCAGTTGAAAAACAAGACAAGGGACAGTAGGAATGATGCAAACTCGGACGTCGTATACCAGTCGAATGGTGAATTCGGATTCATGACTTTCCGAATGCGATAATCACTAGCACAAGTACTTTTGGCGTACTTGGAAAGGTAACGGGATTACTAGTAATGTAGATATTAATATCTTATTATTATTTTTAAAAAAATGTTTTCAAAACAATGGTAAACTCTATCCCGCAGAAGCCCGCTCTGCGTTTCTATAGCCGCTACCTTATACACCTATTGGCGGCCTTCCAAAATGCGTCGGGATACGAGCAACTCTCAAGAGATCAGCTGTTAACGTATGCAAATGCGCAAATAATTAGCCGGCTGTAAGTTACGATTACGATGGCGTCTATAAATGCAAATAATACGCGGGAAAATGAATCTTGTAACTAATTGGTTTTATTGTACCAGTCCGCTGCTTGATGTGGATTAAATTTACGTCACCTAAAACATCTTATAAATGACCAATCATTTCCTCTTATAGCTGATGACATAATGAGGGCTAATAATTTTCTGCTCACTAGATGTCGCTAGTTGACACTAATGTAAAGATTTTTGTTACGCATTGTAATTTAATTGAGAAGTTGTTTTTTATTAAAAGTTTATCAGTTTCTGGAGTATTATATTAATACACAAAACAATGCGTCAGTGGTTTGCTCTTTAATTTTTTTGCACATTTTTATTTTTTTTTTTTTGACTTTTATGAATATCTGTGAATCTGTGGTTTGGTTTATTTATTTTTAATGTTATTAATATAAAATATAGCTAATAGTACAAAAGAAACCATAATCTTTACATTTTCCGAACATATTAACTTCCCCGCTATGAAATCTGTCAAATATTATCCTCTATCCTCACTTTCTGGTGGCGCTGCCCTGGTGGCAGAAAAAGTCGTGGATGCCCTCATCAGCGTGACCGACAGTTAAAAATGGATTGTACTTGATTTCTAGAATAGGCCTTTCTAAAATGTATTATGTTAAACAAGAACAAAGTTCACCTAATGTTAAGTGAAATCTGTGGTCTATTGATAACGTTGTTATAGAATAAGACACACAACACAGCAGCATTAAGCTGCAAATTTACGCTGGTATTCTGTGATAGCACGGTACTTTCCGGTTTAGCCGACTCACTAGTGCTGCAACCATAATATATTCTGTAACGTGGCTCTTTCTCGTAAAAGATCTAACCCCGATATACTATCAAAATTCGTGTGCTTAACCTTGAGGACTAAGATGGCACGCCGTGTCAGTGGTAAAATAATCTTATAAGGGTCTTATTATAATGGTGAATGTTTCGGAAGGTCACGCCAAGACAAAGTTTAAATGTGGCAATAAGTCTTCAACTTTCTACGTCGCAATTTTTGAGCTTACTATATTAGTTTCGGCTTGAAACAGCTTGAGAGTGTTAAAAGTTTGAAAATTACATTTGCAGCATATCGTAGTATATCATATGGTATATATTCTTTAATATATTTTTGTATATATAAAAGTAAAAGAAGTAAAGTTGCAGCCTATTTATGTCCCACTGCTTGGGCACAGGCCTCCTCTCATTTCTGAGAGGGTTTTAGGGCAAGGATATGTCCGCCGCGCTGCCCTAATGAGTGTTGGCGGACTTCACATGTCTTCGAAATATTTTTTTTCTTATTTCTCAGACGTGCAGGTTTCCTCACGATGTCTTCCTTCACCGTCGTGCACGTGGTAAATCAGCACTTAAAATCTATTCAACTGTCTTATCTATTCAACTGTTAAACAGCAGCAAACTAACTGCTGTATTTGTGTTTGAAAACTGGGCTTTATAATACTTGTGTCAGCATAAATCAGGCATTAGCATTTCAGGATTTTTTTTTTTGTTTGAAGTTGGTTGTAGGTGCCGTGAGGCTGCAGTAGCCACTTACCATCAATTTAA